GATAAAAAAAAACAAAAAAAACCCACCTATAATCTTGGTTACTGTGTACAGATTTATTCAATGAAAGTGAAGGGGAATCTTCACCCTCACACAAAATTGTTTTAAGGTTTGCAGTTTATCGCGTTACGTTGTAATGGCAACAAAGATGTAAAATTGAATGTAACTTCACACAGAAAGATTAGTAAGCAATTCCTAACAAAAATCATGTTAACACATATTGTTTATATCTATACTGTTTATATGGAAAGTATTTTAACATTTACAGATTGTCCCTATTCACTTCCATTGTAAGTGCCTCACGGTAACCCAGATTTTTGTGTTTATATATACATAAAAAAAAGAAAATGAAGGATAATCAGAAATTATTTTGTGGTAATCAACATCATGCCACAAATGCTTCCTACTGAGCTTAACTTGTACTAAATATTCTTTTAAGTAATGAGTTATAAACGGTCACGCATACAAAGGCACAGAAGGATATATACAGCGTCGACAGTTAACTGTCATGCTAAAATTCCCATCACATTTGACATCACATCGTCTGAACATTATAGAGCTGGGGTGTGGGGGACTTGGTCCACTTTTAAAATTGGTTATCGCAGCAATTTTGAAGCATGTGCTTTGGGTGGACTGGGTTACTTGTGTTGGCTGTAAGTGAAGACACTATTTTGGTATCCCTAAATTATAGGTATCCACTATTTTGGCACACACACACACACACAAACAAGTAACAACCTCAGCTGATGCCAGTGACGTCACTTCCATTAGGTTTTCAGCTCGGAAGGCAAAGACAGCAGCAGCCAGGACTGAAAAAGAGGGACAGACAAACAGTCATCATCCAGGAAATTGGGTGTATGCCATATAACTGACTGACCCTTTTATTTAAGAGTCCCCTAACATAGAGGTCACATTTTCAAAATGAAGGTAAATTAAAAACAGTTTAACACCTCCTAAACACAGTGATTAACTATTTATCTATTAAATTCCTGACATCAAACTGTATTCAACAAGTGATTTGAAACAGTGAAGTGACAGTAAAATTGTATGTTTCATGTTCACAATAGTAGGCAAAAGGTTAGACATTAGGAAATATCCATCTACCTGCTACTATCTCCAAGGAATCATATCCTAGGATACGGTCCCATAACAATAGGAGCTGGTCAGTGGACAGGTATCCTGAGAAGGCTCGGACTATCCACTTAAAGGCAATACGCAACCTAAAGAAGACACACACACACATACTCAGAAACACTCCCCAAAACATACACATGTTATAGACCTAAACCTTTATTCAAAAATTCTGTTATTTGCTTTTTTACAAATGTTGAGGTGTGAGACTTGTGTGCATAATTCAGCCACTAGATGGAGCTGCACTGTTACAATGTCACACTGTTTCACTTAAGTGACATGATAACTTCAGTCGAAAACTAAAGTAACTTAACTTTAGTTTAATAATAATAATAATAAATTACATTTAAAATATCAACTAGATTTTAATATTTTCAGAAAAATGCAGTTACTAAGATGTTCCAAGCATTTCATCAGGAAACTAAAGTAGCAATAGCTTGTTTGTTTTTTTCCTGGTTTTTAGCCCATTGTTAAGTTGCTAAGGTATTACAGGTGGGGTTTTTTTTAGCACATTGCTATGAATTTGCTAAGGTGCTCCTGGGTGGTGTTTTGTCTGTTGCTATGAAGTTAGATTACTAATTTACTAAGGTGTTTTAGCATGTTGCTTAGCAACTGCTAAGAGGTTATGGGAGGTTTTTAGCCCATTGCTCTGTGATGTTCTAGGTGGTTTTAATCATGTTCCTATGCAGTTGTTAAGGTGTTCTGGGTGGTTCTTAGCCTCTTGTGGTGGTTCTGGTGGTCCCTTAATATTGCTTTGGTCTTATCATCCAGCAGGTTGAAATCATCAACTTTTGGAAAGTTTTGCACAGACCTTTAATAGTTAAGATTGGGGGTTTAGAACAATATCCTATATATTTTACCAATCTAAAGATAGTATATTTGTTAAGGATATGGGCTCAGAACCAAACTAGAATAATCAATTGTCAAAAAGAATTATATAGATGCTGTTATCACTATGTCTAGGAGCAACATTTCTATTTAATAAATGAAAAATAATCAATAAACAAGAATAAAGACAAATTTTCATATTTTTTATACGCGGTTTAAAAAAAAAAAAGAGATTGAGTAATCTGCATTGTGAACTCACGGCTGGGCTCCAGTCTCTCGTAGATGGTAGAAAAGCTGGGGAAGATGAGTCTGCAGTAATCTCTCAAACTGCAAGCACAAAGACACTATACCCTAACACACACACACACACACACACACACACAGTTTAATAATTGTATTTTCATACTTTATTAATGATCAATTTATCATTTCTAAATTATTACATTATCTATAAACCAGTTATTTAGGAGTTGACTGGTTCATAAGATCATTTAGAATGTGTAAGTAAATGATTAATAAACTATTTAAAATGTACATTTATGTATCTTATTATTTAGACATATAGTAATAGTGTTAATAAATGCTTTATTAACAGGTATTCCTACTATAATTCATGATTAATTCAGGTAGTTATAAAACATTTAGTAGTTGTCAGTTAATTATTTTGTGAGCTCCTCTAAAATGAGGACTATTTATGCCCCGTTAAGCTTTTACAAAGGAGACATAAAAGGCTCAGTTATATTCTGAACAGAAAAAGGAAACAAACACAACACAGTGATACAGAACATAGAAATATTTATTTCAAGCTCCAACTGTTCAAGCTCTGGACTGGCTGTGTGTGTTTTGCTCCCCGTGACCCAGTTTCTCCTCGTGTTAATTGTGTTAATTTGATTCCAGGTGTGTCTCCTTAGTCCCCTCGATTAGTTCCTCATTATCCTGTGTACTTAGCCCCAGTCTGTGTTGATCCTTTCTACCAGTGATGTACCTGTGTCTACCTCCTGTTCCCTGTGTTGGATTTACCCTCTGTGTTGGATACTATTATGGATACTATTAAAGACTCTTTTGATTATCCATGGCTCCGTGTTCCTTCCGGCAGCATAACGTGACAGAAGAACCGACCAAAAACAGTTACGTTTGTGTACCGTCATGGATGCCCTCCTTCGCCCGGAATATCTCCTCCTCCTGCTGGAGCAGGGGGAGAGATCTCTCGAGGACTATACGAGACTGTTCCGGCTCTTAGCATACACCACCAGCTACCCAGACGACGCGCTCTGTGCGTTTTACGACGCCAGTTTAAACATTGCGTGCAGAGCGCCGTCATCCGAGGATGGTCCTCGAGCAGATTTCACCGCCTTTGTGGAGTGGATTCTGGCGAGAAACGGCTCCCCGCTCACCGTCCGTTCCGAGGAGGATCTCGCCAGTACCACTCCCAAACCAGAGCCCAGCCCACCATCTCCCTGCGATGCGGAGCATCAGCCCGAGCCCACCGTTGACGGAGAGCCATTTCCCGCCACGATCAACGAGCCAGCGCAAAGCCGAGCAACTGAGCAGAGGATCGCCCCAGACGTAGAGCTTAACCCGTAAGACCAGGTGCGAGAGCCGGCGACAGTGCCCACCGCGAGGGAGCAAGCTGTGGACGGTGAGAGTGCGAAGTGGAGTTCCGCCCACTGCACCGCGGCTGAGGGTGAGCTGATAGTGCATCTGGAACTGCTGGACTTCGAGGGGGACCTTATTGACTGGGAAACTGAGCTGGAAGCCGATTTGCCCCCTCTACTCGTTTCTGCTTCGTCCCTGCTGGTTCCGTCCTGCCCTCCGTCGTCTCCTGTCCCCACGTCCAGTTGGTCGGGAGTCGACCCGCCATCGCCTCAGGACTTCGCTCCTCCGGCTGCACCTCGTCGCTCCGTCAGGCTCCTTCCTCCCGTCAGCTCCACCTTGGTCCTCAGTCGCTCCGGCTATGCCGCGGATCTCCGGATCTCCGCCTCGGTCGCCAGAGCCCTCGGCTCCACCCTGGCCCCCCGGATCCTCGGCATCCCCCTGGCTCGTTGGCTCTCCGTCTCCACCTCGGGCTCCTCCACCACCTGCTCCACCGCCGTTGGTTGGCCCCCTGGAGTCGGCGGCCATTCCTCCTCCATGGTTCCTCCCTCCGTCGGCTTCACCGTGGGTCGACATTATGGCTGTGGCCTGGGTCCTGCTGTGCTCCTCCTGCTCCGGGCCCCTCCTGTCTCCTCCCTGGCTCCTCCCTCCTTCGTCGCCTCCCTGGTCTCTGTCTGCCAGCCCCCTCCCGGGTGTCCGTCTTCCTCCTGAGCCTCCTCCTTAGTTCCCACCCATTACCCCCCCCCTGTTGTTCTACGGTGCGAGGATGCACCTTTCGGGAGGGGGACGATATGTCAGGGTTCTGGACTGGCTGTGTGTGTTTTGCTCCCCGTGACCCAGTTTCTCCTCGTGTTGTGTTCATTTGATTCCAGGTGTGTCTCCTTAGTCCCCTCGATTAGTTCCTCATTATCCTGTGTACTTAGCCCCTGTCTGTCCAGTCTGTGTTGGTCGGTTCTACCAGTGATGTACATGTGTCTACCTCCTGTTTCCTGTGTTGGATTTACCCTCTGTGTTGGATACTATTAAAGACTCTTTCGATTATCCACGGCTCCGTGTTCCTTCCGGCAGCATAACGTGACACCAACACAATCAATTTTTCATATTTAGGAATATGTTTTGGTATTGCAAACTAACAATACCTTAGAAACCACACAGAAACACCCTGGCAACCTCTCACAACACCCTAGCATTGTGGTTGCAAATTTTGCTCAGCCAAGTACTACTTATATTTTCTTCAAAAATATAACATTATATTGTATTATAATACAATAAAGCAATGTCATATTAAAATAGAGTTAAAGCTCTCTAAAAAAAAACTGAGAACCTTTAGAGTTTGAATTTCTGTTTACTCTTGCTAATACACCATCAAGAGCCGCTTTTGGACTGTATTAGAAATTATGAACCTTTTCACACTACTTTTCATAAAATTCACCTCTCTAATCATCATATCATTACCACACGGCATCTGAAATTCTTGAACTACCCAAAGAGTTCACACTAAACCAGTATTCACAAGCAACCTTTATCACCGCACACCTGCAACTCATATTACCGTTCCATAGTGACAACACAATGTGCTTGTGAAGCCCAAATCCTCTGGCCAATTCTGTTGAATATTTCAGAGAAAACTCAGACACAAATAGTCTCAGGACAGAAGCAAAGAGGCACATTGATGGTTGTCCAGAGGATACCAGCTAATGAAACACAAGTGAACCGCAACTTTAAAAATCTCCCTCAAATTCATTGCTTTTCAGACATAATTGCTGGCATTGTTTCAGAACAATTTATGAAACTAAGTTAGAAAGAGTGTATTCTTCCCTAAAAAAGGCCTCATATATAAGGCAGTGTATCTCAATACGTTTAAATATTTTATAGGGAAAAAATTAAACTAATCAAATGAAAGTTGATTAGATATTTTTGTGGATAAGTTTTGTGGCGAAATTGAATATCAAGCAGTGGAAATTTATTAAAGCTCCTATAATAAAAAAATGACTCATGAATTCCCCATGAATAGAGAAGTCTATTTAGAGAGGACTATCTGTGAGACTACACAACAGTCCTATCTTTATCTATCTTGGTTTAGGTACATGAAGTCAAAGAGCATGGGTTTGCATGGGTAACATTCTCACGATAATTTAGTCTACAGTCATATATGTGTACAAAGACCTCTATCAACGTCAAGTCCAAAATAACTTGGGAAATTGTTCTCCTTCTTTGATTATCAAAGCTTTTTTTATGACTCTGTGAGAATTCTCATTTGTAATCAGCTGATTGAAAGGTTGCATTGTAAATGTGTTACACAGAGCAACATGCATTCACTCACTTGATATAAATAGTCCTCAAACACAAAGTAGTAATCGTCATTACTTGTAGTCAGCTTCACATCCTGAGAAGAAAAGGAATCAGGCATTTTAATCGGACACAGGTGCACTAGGGGTACAAAAATGGGACACTCTTCAAATATATATATAATAGCATTGCAAACAAAAACAATTCAATCCTCTTCCCATTTTATCTGTTTATCAGTTAAAGGGGTCATATGACGTTGCTAAAAAAGAACATTATTTTGTGTATTTGGTGTAATGAAATGTGTTTATGTGGTTTAACAAACTTATTATTTTCCACATACTGTACATTATTGTTTCTGAAACACGTTGATTTTTACAAAGCTCATCGTTCTGAAAAGTGAGGTGTGCTCTGATTGGCCAGCTATCCAGTGCATTGTGATTGGCCGAATTCCTCAAGTGTGTGACGGAAATGTTACGCCCCTTACCATATTGTGATGCCCTAAACCATGTCTGCATCTGTGATCGGAGAAACGACAAACAACAAGCGCTACTCTACACTGCTCAATCAATCAAATGAATCGTCTCAAATGAATCGTCAGTGGCAAATCCTTTAAATATGAAACAGCTTACAGGCTGTGAGTCAGCATTATTTGTCAGCATCATAGACTGTATAGGGTCAGCATGCGCGCCGAAGGGGAAACAGGGGAATTAAACGAGTCATTTTAGGAGGGTGTGGACGAGTCTTAACTTTTATAAAGAATATCTCTTTGGGTTTGAGACTTTAGTCTTTGCAACTTTAGGGATCTTATCTATTCACAAACAGCTTGTAACACTCCAAAGAGAAAGGAAAACTTGAAATCGCATCATATGACCCCTTTAAGCATATAAGGAAAATGTGATCTTAGAAGAGATGGGCCTTTCAGAACTCTTTCTCTATTGGTCAAAACCTATTAAGGAAATTTCAATAGAACAAATGGTGTATACAAAACAATTTCCATCAAATAAACTGCACTGTAAATGTACCTTATATATTAGGTTGTCCACCAGCAGGTCATGGTTTATAACTCTAGCCTTCAGCTGTTCATAATGTGTTATGTCCTGTTTAATGATATAAAAACAAAAGAATTGACACTGAGTGAATTTATCTCAGTCAGCTGAATTGAATTAACCAGTACATAATGGAGAAAGAAGCACCTATACGTAGATCAAACTATCCCCAGTCATTACAGCTAAGTTAATTATACTAACCAATTAACGAATTAAACTGCTATTGTAAGAAGAATATTTATAAGATTGCCGAGTCAAAAATTAAATGTCACAAAAGGCTGTGCTGGAACAAATCACTGCATATTAGAACCAGATTGAAATCATCTTTGATTAGATGTTATGCTCTGTTTTTTATTTAAATATTCTTTTTTTTTTTTAGTAGTAAGATGTTTTTTTTATAACTAAATGCCCTTTTCATTAATAACCTCACTGTCAGAGATCAAATTAATGTGACATAAAAAACACATATAGTAAATATAGTTACATTAGTTACTATATTATGAGTTGAATTATTCAAAATAATAGGGTACAACGGGGCTAAAGGCCCACCTTAAGAAAAAATGTGCTATTCACTGCGCCTAAAATGTATAATTGCAGAAACAATATATACGTTGTATTGAACATTAATGGAGCAACAGATTTTGTGTGAAAATAAATCATTCAAGTTGTTTATTTTGTTTAAAAATCTTATAAATGTATGAGGTGGCAAGGGGGGCCTTTTACCCCACACACGGGGTAAAAGGCCCACCAGCATGTGGCCAAAACAAACACTTTAGCTAAGTTTGTACTATTTTCTGCTTATTTTGAAAAAAAAAAAGAATTCATTTTTGTTCAATAAATATACTGTCATTAAAATATGTTAATATAAAAATATATTTTAAAATACAGAAACAAAATAATTTTAATAAGTAAAGATTCTGAAAGTATTGAAGGAGATCCAATCATAACTGAATATATATTTACAGTAGTAACAACAAATGATATTTTATTATATGATATGACTAATATCATGTTTTTAAATATGATGGTTTCATTCTAAACATGGTGATTATCTCTAATATGGACACCCAACATAATATATGATATTTACCATCTGAATCTAATCATGTCAAGAAATGGAAAAGTCAGCCATCTATTAATTATCATGTTAATTACTGTGCGCTTTTAGCCCCAACAGCAGGGGCGCTTTTTACCCCAAATATCATACTTTTACATATTTTTTTCGTTATTTAAAAACTGTTGCTTTAATTATCTTAAACAAAACTGAAAATCATAAAGAAGACCTTTGTCTCAAAAAATTGATTTTAGCGATTCTCATTTCCTACTTAAATCTACAACATCACGTCAAGCAAGGATCAGACAAATAAACACGTGAATCTTGAAAAGCGGATGTTTTGGAAAGTGCTACTCCATGTTTTTGTGCCATCTAGTGGTTTAGCCCCGTTGTACCCTACTGTTCATAAAGAGACACTGCAGTCAAAAACATCACATTTTTCTGCATTTAAGTCATCCCAGGAGGTTCTTATACATGCAAACTAACTTTATCATAATTAACTTTGCTTATACACCTAAGACAGGCTCCAATCATGAGTCTTTCTAAAAGACTGGAGGGACAGGAGAATTTTCCCCATTTTTCTGGGAGGATAGGCATGTGAGCTGGTCCCTGTCATCCAGACAGCTGCTTTATCAGCAGTTACACAATTGTTCCACCTGAAACATTTAAACCTCTTCCCCTCTGTCATTCCACTGGCTCCACATCTACAGCACTAGCTCAAAAAGTAAGGGATTACTCTACTTGCCCCACGCCGGGTGTTTGTCTTCTTATTAACACATAGAGAAAGTACATTCTCCAGATGCTGTTTCACTGCTTTAATGAAGGCCCAAGGACCCATCAGCCAGCTGGGAGACATTGCTTCACATCTGAAAATGGTAACTATTAGAGGGCCAAAGAGGAAAATAAATAAATAAATCGCAGCGGGTACCTGCTCTGTCATTTCTGCCCCACAAGCAGCTCAAAGCTAATTGTATTAAGAAGGATTACGTATTTAAGAGTGTTTTCACACTTGATTGGACTGCTTGGTCTGGATCAGAGTACAATTTCAGATGTCTTTTCACATTTTGAAAGGCATTATGCTATAAAATGTATGCAAATTATACATCATTAATACCGGCTGCCAAACCACCTTATAAAGCAAACTCAAACATGGCTTTCTGGCACACAACAGCGAGAATCGCTTTCACACCAACCGAACATCCTTCATTCTGATGTCAAACTGATTTGAGCCTGTACCAAAATCCTACTGTAAAAAATGTTTGCATCTTATATTTCATTTTTATTAACCCTCACAAGAAAAGTGTTATTCTTTTATTACTTTTACTCTGAAACTGTAATTTTCACAGCATATGGAACATTTCAGCCATGAATGTGTATGATAAGTACAAATAAATATCCATAAAATGTCAGTTCTGGCACATTCACAACTGCCATAAATGTCAATTAAGATATACAAATAGTTTCAGTTGTTTAAATCTACATAAATATTTATGGTACTGTAGTTTTATATATGTTTGAAGATCTGTGCATGACTGTGTGTGTATAAAAGGGAGGGAAAAAAGGATATATACACTACTGTTCAAAAGAATGGGGTCGGTAACATTTTTTATGTTTTTGAAAGAAGTCTCTTGTGCTCACCAAGGTTACCTCTGGATCATTACCTCAGGATCATTAGTCGTATTCAGGATGAGAGACCATAGCTGGGCCCTGAGACCGGTGGGGCAGCCCTGTTTGCTGTACTGCTGCGCCGCTGCGCTGTCTTGCTCACTCACCACTACAGAAATGCAGATAAACAGGAGTGGGACCCTCACACCTTTTAGTAAACACTTCTGAGAGGCTCTTAGCCATTTAAAGAGAAACTTTCTGGATGTGTCTAAAACCTAAAGCAGTTGCCTTGATGTCAATTCTGTCACCGACTATTGACTAAACAGGCAGTGTTCTGTATATGAAGGAGCATCCTAAGGAAACCCGTAATATAATGTCTAATGATCTGGAACACTTTAGAGAAAACCAAGCAAATATTTAGTAACTTACACTACTGTTCATGTTTAGGACTTTTTAATGTTTTTTGAAAGAGATCTCTTGTGCTCGCCAAGGCTGCATTTATTTAATCAAAAATACATTAAAATATTAATATTGTGAAATATTATTACAATTTAAAATAACTTTTCTATCTTAATACGTTTCAAAATGTATCAGCACATACCTGTGATGGCAAAACTGAAGAAAACCGTCTTCAGTTTCTTCAGAAATCATTCTAATATGCCGATTTAGTGCTTAGGTTACAATTCTTATTATTAGCGATGTTGAAAACAGTTGTGTTGCTTAATATTTTAATGTTTAATATTATTATTATTTTCAGGATTTCTTAATCAATAGAAAGCTCAAAAGAACAGCATTTATTTGAAACAGAAATCTTTTGTAATATTACAAAAATGTCTTTACGGTCACTGTTGTTAATAAAGTTTATGCATTCTTCCTTGTAGTATTAATTTCTTTCAGAAAAAAAATAGTGTTAGTGTAACTGCATTTTCCTCATTATAAACAATTATAATTTCATTCAGTTGAAAAACAAAGTGACACCATTCTGTTCTTTTGAAAGTATAGCATCATGGGATATCACAGGCAGTGGAGGAAACATCAATGCTGCCTTCAAAATCAGACCAGACTGTATTTTATTTGAGGGGAAATGGAATGGCAAATATTAAACAAATATTCTCCACAAGACCAGTGATAAAGCACTATTAAACAAGCATTTGTGTCATGATAACGACAAAAAGAGTTTATTTTTACCTTTTTTTCCAATGTGAATGTGCTCACTCTCAAACAAATCTGTGTTGAAACAGCAGAGAGATAGAAAAGAAGTGAGAGTGCAAACAGAGCATACAACACCAATATTTAAAAATGAGCAGTGAACCTCTTTGGTAGCATTCAATACAATACATAAACACACTACATACAGAGTTTAGAGGGTCAAAACATCACGAGCAGGCGGCATACAGTAGGTGAAGCTTCTGTTGACTTGTGACGTGTCAGTAGGAGAAAAGCCTCCTTTGTTACTTATCAAAACCAGGAGGAACACCCTACAACTATCTGAACTAGTGTGGAAGGACTCTGGGATCTGGCAGTAGTGGAGCTCAAACCCATGTAATTCCATTACTCCATGATCATGTTATGGACGAAATGTGTAAATATTTACCTGGAGGAACATGAGTGTGATCATCTATACCAAGCTGTCCATAAGTAAGACCTAGTTCTGGATACATTTCCCTCTGTAACAAATACAAATAATTGGTCACAAGTATAAAACTATCTGATCCCTACCAATAGACGTGGGTTAAAAGGAATTTTATTTTACATCAGTCATCAGCTGTTTTAAAACATTTAAAAATGTTTAAAAATTACACAATGTAACAAAAATTAGTTTCACATATTTTTATGGTTCTGCGATTCTGTGGTGCCAATTATTACTGTACTAGATACGTTTGTACTAATTTTGGGGTATTGTTCTTTTGCAAGGATGGAAACATTCTGTAGTTTCTGTAACATTCTGTAATATTCTAGTGCTTTCTGGAACATTCCAGAACATTGTGGGACAAGTCATAAAAGACAAAAATCATCCAGCATACACTTTTGCTAACTGTTTATGTTAAACTGTTGTTAGCTCAGTATTATGCATGTACCATGTAATTTTTATGCATGAGTAATAACAGATTAGCTTGTACAAGTTGTATTTGTGATACAACTTGTTTTTGTATTTGTTACATTTGTTGTTGTATTTAAACATATTTGTTTTAGTTTTCATTATCAATGTGAATGCTACACAAAAAGGTCATATGATTTTCCTATTCAGCATGTCAAACTTCATAAAAACATTTATTTTTCACAGCAGTGAGCACCAAGATAGTTTCCACAATCACTTAGATTTTTCTCTAACTCTTGATTACTCTAATTTGTTTAGAGAAATGGTTTCAGATAATTATCAGCTGTCGCAATGCAAATTGTTTGTGTCTTGACATGAAAATAGAACGAAGTGAAATAAAAAGAGGGAGCCTCACCATTTGAGGAATGTCACGGACGTTGAGGGAAACCTGGATTAATCCCCAGTGGCTTCTGACTGTGAGATCTTCACTGCGCTCATTATTTGGGTTTCTTAAACCAACCAACACCTACACAACAAGAAATGTTATGTTCCATCTTACCTAAATAAGATTATTTATGTATAGTAAAAAGTAATAGACATGATAAATGCTATAACCTTTGATAACATTTTCTACAAACCCCTCTTATCCCAGCTGAATATGCCAACTATATATAGACAACTATTCATAAGTGTAAACACAGTGGCTCTGTGGTGCCATCAAAACAACCTCTCAGTCAATTCTCACTCAGAGTAATTTAGCCTAACATTTCCTGAGGGAATCCAATCAGCTGCTTCATATCCAGGCCTATTTTTCTCATTTGGACCGGATGTTTTCAATAAACTGATTTGATTATGTAAGCGAGACCCACCTCAAGGAAATCTTTGGGTGCATAGACAGGCCTGAATTTGCTTAGGTCTGCAATAAAAAAAACAACACAGATCTGAGTGCTTCCAAACTTGTATATTATAATAGCCTACCAATTAGTGTAATTGAAAACAAGAGAGCAATAGAACATGGTTGAGTGGAGGAAAGTGGAAAAGATGCAAACATGATGATGAAATTCTCTCAATCTTAACCCTTCAATCATGCCAAAGACATTCTGTTGACGTGGTATTTATAATACAGCAGAGATAACAGCTCTAGAAATAATGGTAGCCTTAACTTACTGTTACCTCTGTATTTTTACTGTGTGTATGATCTCATTTCACAGCCACAGTGATTAATATTGATAAGAAATAGCTGAAAAATGTTGTCAGTTTTTAAAACTCAGGAAAAAAAAATACGTACACAAAAATATAAGTAATATATATATATATATATATATATATATATATATATACACACACATATATATGCATGTACATACACAAAGAGAATACAGTGCTGGAGAATTACTACTTGTTTCAATAAATAACTTCACAGAGAGCTATTATAATATTGCAAGTTGTATATGATTTTATACTTTTTGTGTATGTATTTTACACTTTTTGTGTATGTGTACATTATTTGTAGCCGATGTGGTCTGTGCATATTTGCAGCGTGTTTCTGTTTATAATTGTGTTGTGAGTATTTGCAGCGCATGTGTTGTCAAACTGATGAAGATGTTTTCTTAATTTGCTGGTGGTTTTTTTTTTGTTTGTTTTTCCATTTGCAGCACGGTGAGCTCTCTCGGCCACCATACCATACACTTTCATTGAATGGAGGAAAGAAAAAAAAGAAAAAAAAGAAAAAAGAGTCTAAATATCTACTTTTTTGATTTTGGGGGGGGACATGTTAATGGGAATGGGTCCTATAAATAATGACCAAATGATCATTTTGGGAGAAAGTAATCCTCTATCATGGAAAAAAAAAAGGAGTAAGTCTGGCAATGTTACTGTATGTTTTCAAAGTCATGCTGAAATTGTAAGAAAGACAGAACAAGAACAAGAGAAACAAAGAAGTGCAAGCAGAAGGAAGAATGCAAGAAAGAAACTAAGCATTAGCTTTAGTAATTGGGATGTGGTCCGGGCATCTGGACATGCTCTGGTTTCACAGGAAGGGCTGTTTATGCCAGTGTCATGCAGAAAGTGGTGAATGTTATCATATACACTGCAAACTGATAGCATTGTTATGAAGCTGTTATACTGCTCGGGGCTTCTGTGTGTGAGCCAATCCTCTGTGTGTAAACATTCTGCAGTGTATGAACACACACACACACACACACACACACACACACACAGAGATGCAACCTTGAACATGTCAGAGTGGAAGCACAGATTGTGAGTGTCTGCATTACCTGGTTCATCAGTTCCCATCTCGTTCCATTTATTTGTCAGCTCTTTCTGATCTGGGACCGGCCGCTATAAAACAGAAAAAAAAAAAAGTTTAATTGCTCAAATGCACATGTAAATGACTCATTGTACATACATTGAAATATACATGATGATACCTTCCGTGCCAGTGGGATTCCCAACTCAGTGCACATACTGTTCAAACTCTTCAGGATCCTCTTCTCCCAGTTCACCTACAACAAACACACACAAGACAAACAATCAGCCATCTATGTGCATGGCTCCAAAATGTATTTGGACACTTACACCACACTTAATGTATGAATATCTTTGCAAAATATATCAAAATATAAAACAAGTGAAATCTATTGTCAAGAAAATAGCACAAACATATTTTTAAAGCAAAACATCTCACCAAAACAAGTTTGTTAGATTTACGTTACAAATGATGACTCAAGATTTGGCAGTCAGTAAGATTTTTTTAGAAGATGCATTAGACATTTATAATGTTACAAAAGATTTCTATTTTTTTTTTTAATTAAAATGAAAAAATCCTGAAATAAAACGTACCCACAAACGTATTAAGCAGCACAACTGCTTTCAGTAATAAGAAATGAAGCAGCAAATTAGAAGGATTTCTGAAGGATCATGTGACACTGAATACTGCATTTATGGCCGCCGAAAAATTCAGCTTTGCCACTACAGCTATAAATTACATTTTAAAATATATTAAAATAGAAAACTGTCATTTTTAATTGTAATAATATTTCACAATGTTATTGTTTACTGTATTTTTGATTAAATAAATGCAGCCTTGCTGAGCATAGACTTCTTACTGAACCAAACATTTTCAACAGTATTTTATATTTACTGAAGCAAAATGTTGACAACCAGATCATGTTCATAGTTAATGTGGTTAACTACATCTGTAATTACTCTGCTAGGACACCTTTGTGATTTTGAGGAGAACTGACTTCATACAGTACAGTACATCCACTCAAGTCACCTTGACACCAGTTGATTAAAAGTAATGGCTCAGAAAAATGAAGTTTGTTCTGAGAAAATGCAATTTGTCATTTGCCTGCAGAGTCAAATGCAACATAACCTTTTGTTACTTATGCAATGATATTCGGAAATTTAAAGTGTGACTTACAGTAAGAGTTCAAAAGTGTCCAAATACTGTTTGATGCCACTGTATGCGAAGTATAAGCAGAGAAAGATATAAAGACTAAAAAGAGTCAGAATAATAAATATACAGATGTAAGAGAAAGAGTGTGTACCTGGGCTTTGCGCATATATTCCAAGGGCTCTTTGGTGTGTTCAGGAGGAGCTCTAGGGTGCCCAGGGGGAGGCAGACTACACCACACAAACACACACATAAAGCATATAAAGCATATAAGCATATACCATTGTTTACCAACCACACAGCAGAGAGTAGATCTGTCTTTAAATGTTTTTGTTAATTCTGCTATGAAGAAAATGAATGAGATTTTTACTTCTGGAACCAGACTGTTGCACTCTGTTGTATTCATATATTGGTTCCTCCCACTCTCAAAACTCTGACATACACCAGACCTTCACATTAACGTCTACACAAAAAGACATTTAGCAGGGACACCTGTACAATAACACACCGAGGCATCAAGGCACCATACTCCATTATCAAACTTTATGAAGCTTCTTCCTTTCAGCCCCTTCAGTCTTTCCTCAGTCCCATTAACTTAAAACACTCATTTTAGGATAAACACGTCACCAAAAATGACAAACAGAGAACGTGTATCTACAAAACAACTTTTTTTCAAACAAGGGGTCAAATTAACCATTTTCAAACAAGGGGTCATACATTTAAGGATATATGTATATATTTTATTGCTTTTTTCTCATCTGTAACAATGTCCAGCTCAAACAATTTTATAGGCTACACTCTGTAAAAGTAATTTGCATTGTACCTCAGACACTCCTGTCAGTCCTGTCTTGTATTTGGACCTGGATCATTTTAACCTTAATAAAGTAATTCTGTCTCTTGTCATTTTCACATTTGGCCAAAAGGAGTTCCTGTCATAAAACTGTATAAACACTAAAACTGGAGGAACAAACACTCTAGACACTTTCAATGTACTTGTGTGTGTGTGTGTGTGTGTGTGTGTGTGTGTGTGTGTGTTTGTGTGTGAGAGAGAGAGAGAGAGAGAGAGAGAGAGAGAGAGAGAGAGAGAGAGAGAGAGAGAGAGAGAGAGAGAGAGAGAGAGAGAGAGAGAGAGAGAGAGAGAGAGAGAGAGAGAGAGAGAGAGATCATCTTGTCTAAATCTCATGTCATCATTTTTATTGCTGATCATCTCAGTATGGTAATACAGGAATAAAATAAAAATTAAAAATACAAGTAGAAGAAACCAGTCAGTGTAATTAATGAACTGCATTAGAAAAAATATATCATCTTATATACACAATATACTGTATTACTTACATGTGTAATTCCCTGTAAACTGCATTTTGCAATTTTCTCTCCCAGCCTACAAGAATGAAAGGATCAATGACACTACAAGAATAACACATAGGGACCACATTTATCACTTGAGCAATTCATCACTTGATAGATTTTTCTTTTGTATATACATATATATAATATATAAATGAAACACTATTTTTGTATATTTTAAAATCTAATTTATCCCTGTGATGGCACAGCTAACTTTTCAGCAGCCATTACACCAGGCTTCAGTTACGTGATCCTTCAAAAATCCTTCTAATATGCTCTTTGCTATTCAAGAAACATTTCTTAATATTATCAACAATGCCGAAATCAGTTGTGCTGCTTAATATTTTTATTTGAAAAAACGTGATACATTTTTCACTCTTTGTTGAATAGAAAGTTCAAAATAACAGCATTTATTTGAAAAAATAAATATTAAAATTTAATAGAAATAGAAATAAAAATAAAAAATATTTTGTAACAATATAAATGTCTTTACTGACACTTTTAATCAATTTAATGAATCCCTGCTAAATGAAAGAATTTTTATTTCTTTTTAAATAAAGAAACGCTTACTGACCCCAAACTTCTGAACAGTAGTTTACAAAAAGTACCAAGAATTTGGTTTTATTTTAAATAAAAGATAAATGCTTGAAATTTCATTTAAAATTGTATTCTGCATCTGACAGCCATGTCATACCTGATGCCTTTAACAATCTTCTCACATCATCTTTCAGCGTTTCCAGTTTAATTTCGGGTTTGTGCAAACATTCCTAGGGAAAAAGACACACTTCTGCAATGAAACACAACAAGCAAACGCAAGCAGGCAGTATATGCTGCAGTCAGTGACCGTATTTCGCGTTGCACACTCTGCAGTCAGTTAGCTCAGCTGAAGCTACTCACTTTAGCCTGTTTCTCCAGCTGAGAGTGTAAATGAGTCCCCTTGAGCCGCTGGACAATCTGCGTTATAGAGACAGCCAGCTCTGCGCTCTCGTCCATCAGCACACTTTTAATGCGATGTCGACGGGATTTTCTGTGAGCATCTGTTAGCGCTGCAGCACCGCAGGATGAAGCACAAGCACCGTATCCAGGCAAATGACAACAAAGCCTTCAGGAAACACTGTCTTCAACACAAGGTTCCGACATGCCTTTATTCACTTTAATAATAAGAGTTCCCGTTATAAAAATCAAAATAATGAATTCCACAAAATTATTTTTTTTATTTATGTTCTTATTATGTATTATTGTACATTTACCCTTACGAAAATTAACCATGATTTTACTACAAATAAAACCAAAAAACAATGGTTACTATAGTTAAACCATGCAACTACAAATTAACCATGGTTCTGTCAGGACCACTATCGTCAAAATGATAGATACTTAGCATGCCACACTAACCATAGTTCAACCATGGTATTTGTAGTAAAACTGTGGTTATACAAATGGTAATCAATACGCCAAAAAAACACTAAACTTTTACTATAATAAAACCATGGTTAATTTTCGTAAGGGTAAGCTATATCTAGAAATATTAAAATAAATTGAAAATGTATACATCATGGTAGTATTTCATTATATTAAAATTTGTTTGATTAAATGTTTCCTTTAAAACTTTAAAATCAAAAATTCGAATGTAAAAGGCAGGGATTTCAAAGAATTACAAGATTATTTTATGTGATGTGAATTTTTTTATTTTTTTATTTTTTTTTGCTGTAGCGTAGGGGAGAGTGGTGTTAGTTGAGCCAGTGGGTCAGGGTCGTCCTTAGAGGGGTGTAACTGGTGAACGGACCGAGGGGGAAATTGATGGGTAAATAGAGCCAGCATTTTATCTTACCCCACCATAAGGGACTGAATTTAAGGTAAATCTCTGCAGTATAAACTGGTAATTTAATGTGATATTACGAAACAGTTTATATA